CTGGCCCTGGTGGCTAAATTTTGTTCATATATTTAGTAAATTACTTTCTCTAAAACATTCTGCGAATCAGTGTTTTGTAGGTCCTAAATACTAAAAAAAGTCGACCGATCAAAATTTCTCTTTGTAATCAAGCACCTAAACCAGTCAGACAATTTTCTCCAAAATTGAAAGTGATATTTATGATGAATTTAAATAAATTTGAGGCCCCATGATTTTGAAATGAATATTTTAATTTTTAGGCAATTCACATTTGGGTGAGTAAGATACAAAGCTTCAATTACATATTCAAAATTTTGATTGAATTTGGTCCTCCGAGAGTGACAGGTCTCATTTTCATTGAAATCCCTGAATTATCCATTTTCTCAATTTTTGTTGGAGCCTTCCCACAACTACAATATTAAAGAGAGCTTCCTACTTTCCCATATACATACACATATATATGGAGTAATATACATAGCACAGGGAAAGTTATGCAATGCTACGCGAAAAAAGTGGCTTTCCGGCAGAAAAAATTCATTCTGGGTTCTGATAGCAAAAATTATGCTAAATTAAGGACAAAAGAAAACAACCACCAACAACCTTGCTTCTTGCGTGCTATCGTGGCTAGCTGAGGAGGTTGTGTTCGCTTTGCTTTTCATGGAAGCAACATAAGTAATGCAATTGCTGGCAGAGGATACCACAACCTCTTTCTGTCACACCGGATACCATGCCATTCCCAATACAGTTTGAGAAGCAGATTTGTAGAACTCCATACTTCTTAAGGACAGATATTTTAACACCCTTATTTTGTTACAATGGTATCAGAATTTACAAGTGGAAGTCTTCCCTAGATGCAGTGAAGATTATATCTATTTTTGGGTGAATATGTTGTGAGCATCTTTTTCTTGCAATGAAGGAGAAAACAAACAAACAAAAAAACAACAACAACCAACTTCAGGGCAAGACATTGAGGAATGTTCTATTGCAACAGCCCAAGCACCAACACCAGATATTACTTCACTTGTTATGTAAAACATGACTGAAATTAATTTCTTAAAATATTGTTGAACTGAATCGAATTTTGCACATTCTGTTAAACTTATAGGTTTCTTTCTGAGTATGAGCTCTGGTGTGCCCACCGCTTCCTGCTTTGGCCATCAGCAACAAATTGTCGCCAAAGGCCAAGGCCAACTTTCTTCCCGAGGGCTTATATTTTGCCAGGTGCCAGCACAAATGTTGACAGCAGTAAGTGCCCATCAGTTTCTGCAAGCAGCTGAGTTGTAACAGCCTGCTTTTGATCAATGTGAGCAAGAGTGAAAAATAAAGAAATATTGAGATTCCGCCAATAAAGAAATCTATATAATTTCAGTTACTGAATCTGATAATCCAAGTTTGGTTAATTCTCCTGATGTTCTTTTACAATGTTTTGTCAGTTAAATCACAATTAAAAATTAATAAACAATACTTCTTTCAAATTGAATCCCTCCCCTCTCATGTGAACTTCGTTACTAATTCACTAATTCAATTTTAAAATTATGGATGGTGTTGAGTTGATGTTTCAGTCTTAAGAACCGATTTTTTTTTGGCATGTTGCATCACTAGAAATTTGGAGAGGGAATAGGATGAGGAAGGAAAGATCGTGCATGGCACACTGTTTATGAGCATACTACATTTACATAGAACCGTTTGGATAAAAAACAAAAAACTATCTATCAAAGAAGTCAGTTGCTAGAATTCTCCACCAGACTTCAAAATCAACTCAGCTATATAGCTAGTATTGAAAATTCCCAACAATTGGAACACACACCTAATTATCTACTGGTCAACTAGAATAAAGTGGCAGAGGTGTTGCCTCTTTGAGTTATGTCATCTGCTCAAAGAAGCTGAAGAGAAGATAGTACATTGTTCCTTCAATCCCAGGCAGATGCTGGAAGAATACTTTAAACAACCACATGGACCACTCACAATTCTTTCTTCCCCAACCTCAAGACCAGGCGGTAACCTATTCATCACGATTTAGAAACTCTTGGTTAGTCTGTTGTACTGTAAGCAGGCTCCCCTGCTGTATTCTTACCTTCAATGTATAACATACATCCTTAAGTTTCACTAAACTCCTGCTAATTGTCATATCGCGAGCTCTTTTTTTGGTGACTTCAGTGCTTGATGCAACCAAAATGTTGTTAATTAACAGTCTACAAACCCTAAAAATTAAAATTTTAACATAAAAAAAAGATCTTGGAATAAAAAAAATGCATGACACATAACAAAAGTAAAACTACCTACACGCCACCTTTCTCCACATTGCCATATTCAAATTTGAAAGGAATATGACATTCATGAGCTGATCTTTTAATTAACTGAATTGGAGTAACAACTATTTCATCCTCTATTAGTACAAAGCTCCCAAACGGTCCTGTGATATTATCTACACTTCTCTGTGAACGTTCACAAACAACATTCCGCATTGCAACATCAATTGACTGCACAGTTACAGGACAAATATTTTCAGTAACAGCAAGGGGGGGATGGTTCTCAGGAACCTGAGCAGAAGTTTCAATTCCACTGACAATTGCATCCTCACATTTCACATTATTTTCACAATTGAGTTGAGCATGCTGTTCATTTTCAGGAGGTAAAGCAATAGATGGCTTTATGAGCTGAAACTTAGAATTTGAATACTCTCCCAAGAGCAACATATCCTCAACAACTTTGCCGAAGTTATTCTTTTGAGAAACAACCAGTTTTCTATCATCCCCGTGTCCATAACTTCTCGATTTCAGCTTTAATTTTTGACTCATTCTGGAAAAAAAAATCACAATATATAATTTTCACAAACTATCCAACAAATTGCTTAATATTACAACTACTATTACCACTACCCAATAATGATTATACTTTAAATGCATCATCTTGTAATTTATATAACTGTTGATAGAAATGTTTATCAGAAGGGAAATAATATACTTACTGATGTGCAACTACTCGTTCTTCTTTAGTGAAATCAGATGAAAATGTTAAACTATGAGTTTCCTTGCTTAGTTTGTACTCTTCTAAAATTTTGAAAATTTTTTTTTCGAATTCTTTGGCAGATTTTACATCGAGAACACCAATGCCTCCTCTTCTTACCAGTACAGTTGGTCTGTGAATCAAACCTCAAATTATTTTATGTAGTTTTCTTTCAACATTTCAAAGAATAATCTTGTATTTGTTCCATTTTTGTATGTGTTTTGGGACAAATGGTATTTGTTATTAAACAAATGAAATCGTATATCTCATTCGTACGGCAGATCATGGACTAGTTACCACTGTTTTCACTGAGTGAGCTTGTGCTTCACACGTTTGTGCAGACGACCATTGGGTTTGCCCAGCAGTGGCAGTCTTAAGTGATGTTTTAGTGCATCTAGTGCTCTTACAGTGCGAACAGGCAACTGAATTTATATTACAGAAAGCATAGAGAATTAAAGATGAGCAGCAAAATTTGGGGCTAATTATTTTTACTAGTTTTCATTAAAAATTAAAGACCAATTTCAAAAGAATCATATTCAGAGCACTGAACTGAACTTGATGGATTAATTTTGCTAATTTTATTTTCTCACTACTGTTTATGCCATATAGAGAATATACTGCAAGGCTTGGTGAAATTGTGAATTTTTGACAGAAAACTTTCATTATGGAGCCTAGTAACAAAAAAGTGGAGAAATCTTGACCTTATATACAGTACATTACTCCCTCTAACACATTAAGTAGTCAGAATCTGTAATTTATGGGTCCTAAATACTGAAAAATCATCTATCCATTCATCTGTGAACAACACTAGCAGCTAAACAGTCAGCAGGATTTTCACCAAAATTGATATTCCCCAACCGATCTGGGCAATGTTTGCAGCTCCTTGAATTTGAAACATATTTTAGTTTTAGAAGTATTTTACATGGAGCCCCAGGAATTTTTTTTATTAAATTTTGTCGTAGGATAGCATAAAGGATGCTTAAGAGAATGGTGAGATTTAATTTTTGTTGAAATCCCTGAGTTTTCGACAATTGCAAAAATTGAACATTTTTTCAGTCTTCCTACAACTTCAATTATGAAGACAAACTTTTATGCTTTATTAAAATGTGTTCTTCAGAAACAGATTTCCTTATAAGGTCATGCTAAATTTTTTGAAATCTAAACTGGTTACGACTGACAATGCAAGGGAGCCATATAGGACACTTAAGGGAGCAGGCTGCCTTGCTTATAGGAATAAGTGATCTCTTAAGACTTCACTCACGGGCCGTTTATAAAAATGATTCGTCCACTTAAGGGAACACTCAGTGTAAGAGACTATGAATTCGGCCCTAAGAGTATATTTTGCATAATTTTTTGTCAAACATAGACAATTCTTAAATTTTAAACAAAGATTTTCTCAATAATGGTAAATTTTTGCTTTAAAGTTTTTCCTCGTATGTACCAACGAATTTAAATGTGGAGGTTATGGTCCCATTTTTGGCACAAACACTGTAGTTGCAAAAAATAAAAAATTCAGAATTGTAAATTTGAATTTGGAGCCCTTTGTTTGATACATAATTTTGCAAAATGGCACCATACTGGTTTCAAAATTCTTTGAATTCATCCCATTACTGTCAGTTGTGATTACGGTATGATGTAGATAACATTCTTATGAAAGGAAATAGACTGAAGGAAAGTAATACATAAATTAAACTCTAACTATCAAACACACTTCTTAAGTAAAGAAGTTTTGACTGCAGATTATGGTATTCACAAATCAAAAGCTTATTTCAACTTATTCAAGGCAAGCTAATGTGAAATTATTCTTGCTTTTCTATATTATGTACAGGAAATATGGTAACAATTAAATTTATTCATGTTGTTTCATTTGTGAAAGTAAGAAATGACTACCATTCCACACAATTGAAATAAATGCAGATATGGACAAGAGGCACTTCGTTTGAATTTGTTGAATTGGACTTTTCAAGTTATAGTTGAGGTGGCAGTAGCACAGAAATAGCAATATTTCAATATTACATAACTATTTCCAATAGCGCAAGGAAGTGTGAGGTGGTGTTGCACCGCTTGTTTTCTAATTTCTTGAAAATCTTAGATATTTTGTACGATATTCTGCTCTCTCGCTTCATCTATACCCATCTGTTTATAATTGTGGATTTGTGAAGGGAAATCAACTATAACAAATATACTTACACAGTACAACCAATGGCTCTCCTTGCTTAACATGGACTGATTGATGTCAATTGCACACTAATATAGTATGGTATGCGGGTTATCTGTACATTTTATTTACATTTATTTATATCTCAATTTTATTCACATACTGGTGTTCTGCAGAGCTCTAATTTAAGTCCACTTTAATTTACTATTGTAATAAACGATTTTGATCTCGACCTATTATGTTTAATCTCGTATGCTGATAATATGAAGATTACTGTCTTCAGTGTGTTAGAAGGAGTAATTAGAGAGAGTATTCTACAGACGTGTTCAAATTATGAGTCTAAGGTATGTCTTTCCTATGTTCCATTACATAATTGAAGAGAAAAGCTGTTAAGTGTGTTGTCTCTGAAAGGTCCTGGCAGACTGCACATTGTTGAAGAAACAATGAGGCAATACAATCACAAAAAAATCCTTAAAGGAACCATTTCCCAAAATTAGAGAGGTTTCTTAATGAAGATTGCATTTTTATGCGTGATGAAGCACAGTGCCACAAAGCCAAAAGTGTCTTCAAGAATATGGAAGAAAAGCAGTTTAAAGTGTTACCATGGCCACAAAATAACTCTGACTTGAGTCCTATAGAAAATTTAAGGGGTATTACTAAGACAAAAATAAGGAAATATTCAAGAAGTCCTGTACAAACTAGACATTTGGTACTGTGACTATGAAATTAAAAACTCCGGTGAAAAGTCGGTAAATATTATGCCAAACGGGATAAAGTTCTCAATTAAAAACAAAGGCATGCACACTAACAGTATGTATTAAAGAATGACTGTAAAATGTACACAAATGTAAAAGTGTAATAAATGCAAATTTTTTATGAAAAATGTCTGAAGTCTAATAATTTGAACAAGTCTGAATAGTATAATTAGAAATTATTCCACCAACATTAAGAATTACATAAACTTGCTTTAAATCCCATGACATATAAAGCTGTGCCATTCTATTGAGGTAAAAGAATTTTATTTAATGATGTTATTAACAATGTGGTTTCACGGAGCTTGATTAAGAAGTTTGGACACCAGAACTGGCATTTTAAAACTGGTACTTTGCTTCAACAAAAAATGTTTTGTTGTCTTAAAAGAAATTTTGGTTTAGAAACACTATTACACAATTACATTTTAGTTAAATAACAGTAATCTACACTATTAAGTCCATACAAATTTTATTAGTTACAGAAATGTCCTGTGACTGAAATGACTCCTGATTAATGAAACTAAACATTAATCAGGAAAGATCTTATGTTCACAATTTCTACAACATATGGTGCCCAAATGAAAAGGAGAACATAGCCGTAGCAGCATTGTATGAACTCCTTAAGTGAATACAGTAGCCGATTAATGGTGCGTTGTTTTTTCCTTGTGGCACAGGCAGAGAGGACATGGATGCAATTGCCTCAGTTCAGTTGCAATGTTTCCGCAGTTCTTTGCATTATGGATCTGTCCAGAGCAGAACTAAGAGCAGTGACACAATTTCTTCATGGAGAAGGGTAGCATGCATCCAAAATTTATTGCCGGATGTACGAAGTGTATGGTGAGTGGTCTTGCCTAGTGTAACATAACCCGATGATGTCAGCGTTATGCGAGCGGACGCATCAACATCAAGGACTTGCCATGCCCGTGCAGGCACACATTGTGACCAACAGAGCCCAGATTGTGGCTGTGAATGAGCTCATATGGTGGAATCATTTGATCTCCACACGTGTAATTGCTGTTGAACTGGTAATAAGTAAAGGAATGATGTGCTTCACATCAGTCACACAAAACTGGGGTGTGTTCAAGAAAACCCTCGACCTACTTGTGAAGTTTGCTGGGAGGTGCTGCAACATCCTCCTTACAACCCCAATATAAGTCCCCATGCAACTCCCATATCTCTGGCTCCTTAAAATGATTTTTTGAAAGGTCAGAGATTCACCTCTGGCAAAGACAAGCAAGCCACCGTGGAACAGAGAATATTTCAGAAACCTCTGGGTGATTTGTAGGTGCACTGTTCTAAATGAAATGTAAATCGCATGTTGGCATTAAGGTGGATTTGCAAATCATTGTAGTCCTTTTCATTTGGGTATACCATATTATATTAGAGACTCCGATGCTCTACCTAGTTTCGCTATATACAAACAATTTTCTCCAAAAACTAAATGTCACAACATAGCCAGCTAAAATTGATCTCACCTTATTGGTTCCTGTATTCCTTGCCGATCCTTTCCAAGGCCTCCCCCAGTCCAGCCCATAGCTCGCATTAATTTACTACCAATGTTTTCTTCTAATGGAATATCTAAGGAGTTACCTTCTTTCTTTTCTGGGGTGAAAGTTGGCTCGAACTGTTTTAAATGATCCCGCTCAACCACAGGATCATCTGAATTAATCCCACCCTTTATCTGAAAATGCACAAATAAAGAATGTAAGGAATCAATATTGCCAAATTCAATGTTAATATTCAAATGAAATTTTATACACAACTGTTCACTCACAAACCTTCAAAACGTAGCACATCTCTTTTAATTTATTATATGCTTTACCAACAGCCTTATCACGAGCATCCTTTCGGTTGAAGCCAGATGACGACGATAAGAGTTGATTATTGACAAATACATTGCACAACCTTAGATAAAATATAAACATTATTCAAAAAGAGAATGTTATATTACTACCTCTGTAGCCAAAAGTGCCCAACAATCATTTTGAAAATGTATTTATATTTCTTATATTAATTCTCAAATCAAATAAAATTTAGCTCTTCTAACACAATTCTACAAATAGCCAGAACAACAGAAACTAGCAACATTACTATTCAAACACACACAGATTCAAGATACACTAAAAAAACCTCCTTTCACTGCATTTCCAATAATTAACTGATCTCTTGATTTTAAAACGTATTCTCATGGATCAGTGTCCAACTCAATCGTACTCATTTGCATAAAGTATCATTTGTGAAGTATAAAATTACCATCACAACAAATTAACGAATAAAATTGAACTGTGATTTCACAATCGCAGATTGATAAGACAGAAACTACTGCTTGACAAGGTCCAAATAATCAGAAAAATTAAATATCTCAAGGAAAAACACCCATGAAATAACAAGAATTGAAGAAAACCATATCAAAAATCTGAGGATCATAGGGTGAATCTAATTTACTTCATCAAAGAACAGTAAGAAACTTTGTGATGTATGGGGAAAAAGTACAAACTGCACATTTCCTTGAGCTAAAGAAACTCTTCCCCACCTTTGCACCAATAAATAGTTGAATGATGAGGGGTAGGATGGTTGAAGTTCCAAAAATGCGAGGCTAGTAACATTTTAAAACTAGAAATGTTTGTTTATGAGATATAGAAAACTTATTTGCATCAGTAAATTTACAACAGATTTGATTGCTAAGAAAACAGCAACACATACCCCACGCTCTACTACTTCCTTGTGGCTCATTGACCAAGAAGCTGAAAAACATTACTTGTACTCGAAGTACTTTTAAAATTGAACAATATAAATGTCTGGCCAGTGTAGTCTGTAATAGTACAGAAATAGTCGATAGAAAACCTTTTACTTTGGACATAAATTTGTGTATTTATTTTAATTGTTTAATATCGCATGTCAATGTGCTAAGTAACATACACATATTGAAAGTGGATATCTCGTTGTGAGCTGTTGATCGCCAATGGTGACCGAAACGTCGGCACCTTCGCCATGGACACAAGAGACACCCGGACAGCCTAGTGAATACTGACTCCGTCCGCGGAAACCTATGCTCTCACTTATAAAAATCAGTATTGAATATTATGTTTCCATTGTTAAACAAAATAAGTTTTGACAAAAATTACAGATTTATAAATAAATAGACAAGGCAATTGTAAGATTCCTAGCTTAAGGAAGACGCTTGCAGGAATTGCATGAATGGCATTTTCTTATTATTTGTATAACTTTTAGTGTGTTGTTTGGCTAGTCCTTTATGACATGCTACTTCCCTATTATGTTTGGAGTGAGCTTAAAATCAGGTGGCTTATGGAAGTAGCAGCCAATTACGTTTTGAAAATAAAATCAAATAATATATAACTGACTAGTTCATTGTACAGTATACCAAAGGACATCTAGATGCTAACAATTTTTCTAAAAGTGTAAGAAATTCTTTCAAGCAAACTGAAAAAAAATTATGTTAAGTAATGTAGAAACCAAGTTACGAAAAATAGATTTTATTCCCGATCTTGATCTTGGAAACTGAAGGGTTAAATAGCTACTTACAAAACGCTTATTGCCACCAGAACTATATGTGATGGATTAAGGTAGATTCCACCATATTATGATTTGAAACTTCAATTACTAACCAGGATTTCTAGCTGAGATAAAAGGAAAAAATCTGAATAGGAGACAGAACCTATTATTTGGTCAAATACAGCAGGAATAGTAAAACACCCTATTGAAAACAAAAAAGTAAAACAATCTTTTTGTAATAGTCATTAACGATACTCTGAACAGCACTTCTTTGTGCTTGACACAGACCAAAGAAGCAATGGCACATTCAACATTGATAAACCAATAAATTGCATTCTTCATACCCAGTAAAATGCAATAGTCATAAGAGGAGGGGACATTGTTAAAAGGAGTCATCACATCAATCACTTATAACATGAAAATATTTGCATGACTCTCAAGCTGTCAAAAAATGGATACCAAAATTTCACAAACATAACAAATGTCTCACACAAATAAATTTTAAAATAAAGAGCAGAGCCAAGAGAATTAAAATAAGAACAATAGTTTGAATTGCAGGATTATGATTGTAGGCAAGAAAATTCATTCAGTGAAAAAACTCCATGCTGGAGTACCACAAACTTACATGGAAGAATATTCAGCTTTGTACTCAAGGTGAAATGGAATATGAAAATGATTCAAAGATGCAATCAATACTTGGTAGGGATGTGGTTGCTCTTCATATTCAAGTAAGACCAATTTTCCATAAGGCCCTGCCTGCATCAGAGCTACTTCTCCCCGATTATTAGCAGGCTTGTTGTAGTTTTGCTCATAACCATTCATTTTAGTTTCATTATTTGAGACCTGAACAGTTCCTTCCTTTAATAAATTCCTTGAAGGTTCTTCCCGAACAAAAGCACAAGCCTTGAATAAATGAGATGCAGAAGTTTTTTCAATATTTGGTTCCATATCGGTCACAACCCACGTTGTTGATGAAATTGTTTTTATAGGCAGCTGCTTTGTCTCTGAATTTTCTGGAGTAATAGTAGTAGTTCTTGTTGTTGAAGTGTTTTGCGGCAACTGGGTAACGTCTGAACACTTAATAATTTTGGGAGAGGAATCCAATGGGCCAGCTGCATCTCCCAAAAGACGTTTCAGTCCTGCAAGACAAAGAAATATTCATGTTTTAATACTGGGTTAAATAAATTGGGTAATCAATTTAAAACACACAGCTCAGCCCTCAATAGGCGAAGGTAAATGCATTGGGATCTGACCCAGATAGGAGGTAAGACTAACTTGCACCCTTGTAATATCAAGAAAGTAAACTGAAGTATGGCAAGAAGAATGGCCACTCATATTTTGAAACAAACTTTCCAGAGAGAGAGAGAGAGAGAGAAAGAGAGAGAGAGAGAGAGGAAAGAGAGAGGCAGAGAGGAAAGAGAGAGAGAGAGAGGAAAGAGAGAGGAGAGAGCGAAAGAGGAGAGGAGAGGAAGAGAGAGAAGAGAGAGAGGAAGAGAGAAGAGGAGAGAGAAGGAGAGAGAGGAAAGAGAAGAGAGAGAGAGGGAGAGAGAAGAGAGAGAGAGAGGAAAGAGAGAGAGAGAGAGAGAGGAAAGGAGAGAGAGAGAGAGAGGAAAGAGAACGAGAGGAGAGAGAGAGAGAGAGGAGAAGAGAGAGAGAGAGAGAGGGAAGAGAGAGGAGAGAGGGAAGAGAGAGAGGGAGAGGGAAGAGAGAGAGGAGAGGGAAGGAGGGAGGAGAGAGAGAGAGAGAGAGAGAGGGAGAGAGAGAGAGGGAAGAGAGAGAGAGGGAAGAGAGAGAGAGAGGAGAGAGAGAGAGAGAGGGAAGAGAGGAGGAGAGGGAAGAGAGAGGAAGAGAGAGAGAGAGAGAGAGAGGAGAAGAGAGAGAGAGGGAAGAGAGAGAGAGGGAAGGAAGAGAGCGGAGAGGAAGAGAGAGAGGGAGAGGGACGAGGGCGAGAGAGGGAAGAGAGAGAGAGGAAGAGAGGGAGAAGGGAAGAGAGGGAGACGGGAAAGAGGGAGGAGGGAAGAGAGGGAGAGGGGAGAGGGAAGAGGAGAGGGAGAGGAGGAGAGGAAGAGAGGGAGGGAAGAGAGGGAAGAGAGGGAGAGGGAAGAGAGGGAGAGGGAAGAGGAGAGGGAAGAGAGGGAAGGGAAGAGAGGGAGGAGGGAGAGAGGGAGAGAGAGAGGGAGAGGGAAGGAGGGAGAGGGAAAGAGGGAGAGGGAAGAGAGGGGAGAGGGAAGGAGAGGGAGAGGGAAGGAGAGGGAGAGGAAGAGGGAGGAGGAGGGAAGAGAGGGAGAGGAAGAGAGAGGGTAGAGGGACAGAGAGGAGAAGGGAAGAGAGGGAGGAAGAGAGGGAGAGGGAAAGAGAGGGAGAGGGACAGAGGGAGAGGAAGAGAGGGAGCGGGAAAGAAGTAGGAAGAGGAAGAGAGGGAGAAGGGAAGAGAGGGAGAGGGAAGAGAGGGAGAGGGAAGAGAGGGAGAGGAAGAGAGGGAGAGGGAAGAGAGGGAAGGGAAAGAGAGGGAGAGGGAAGAGAGGGAGAGGGAAGAGAGGAGAGGGAAGAGAGGGAGAGGAAAGAGAGGGAGAGGGAAGAGAGAGGGGAAGAGAGAGAAGGGAAGAGAGAGAGGGAAGAGAGAGAGGGAAGAGAGAGAGGGAAGAGAGAGAGGGCAGAGAGAGAGGGAAGAGAGAGAGGAAGCGGAGAGGGAAGAGAGAGAGGGAAGAGAGAGAGGGAAGAGGAGAGAGGGAAGACGAGAGAGGGAGAGAGAGAGGGAAGAGAGAGAGGGAAGAGAGAAGAGGGAAGAGAGAGAGGGAAGAGAGAGAGGGAAGAGAGAGAGGGAAGAAGAGAGAGGGAAGAGAGAGAAGGAGAGAGAGAGGAAGAGAGAGAGGGAAGAGAGAGAGGAAGATGAGAGAGAGAGGGAAGAGAGAGAGGGAAGAGAGAGAGGGAAGAGAGAGAGAAAAAGAGTTAGAGACAAAACTTATTATGAAGAACACATTTCATTTGAAGGAAAAATCTCTATCCTCAACTTTGTAAGTGTAGCAAAATGGAGGGGGATTCAAACTTTTGCAATCATCAAAAATAAGAGATATAACAGTGAAAATTGGACCTATGCAATCTTTATAAGTGTTTTTTACTTTATTCTTACAAGCAATTTAAAGAAAAAAAATTGGAGATATTTTTAAGGAAATTTTGAAGAAGGAAGAAGGCAGGGCTTCACTGAAAATACCCCCAAAAATTAATGTTTTTCAAAATCACAAGAGCTTTGACTCAGCCAGATCGTCATGAGTTTATTAAGTTTGGAAAAAATCGTACATATAGTTTAGGCACTAGTGTTGATCACATATACTACGTCATATACTTTTTTGCCATCACGGGCACGGCACTAACAGTTTTCCTGCTGAAAGTTCGCCATTTTTTTCACGCAGCATTACATAACATTGCATGTTTTCCTTTGTTATTAAATAACTTTCTATCACGTAAGTGGGAGCAAGAAAGTAAAAAGCAATCAAATTGGATAAATTGAGAGATATTTAAATTCGGGGTTATTTTTCTTTGTGAAAATATATACCTATTGCTTTTGTAATAAACAATTTACACGTTTCTGGTGTTTATATGCATCTGAAATGCAAATATTTCATAGAAAGTATTTTGACACACCAACTTTTGAATTCCTATTGCTGCTCAGGCATTTGAAATCTCAAAGAGGTTTATTAGACAAAATATCTTTAAAATCATCTTAAGAGATTATTTTCGAACCTCATATTCTCCCTGGTCACCCTGTATATTATTTCTTTTTTATGCTTGCTTGCTAGCTTGATTCATTAGTTTTTCTGGACAGGTCTAGTCCCTATTTTGTTAATCCCACAAGTGTAGTGCATGTTTTAACACAGGGTGGTAGTGGTGATCTTCCCTTGCTGAAAGGAGAGCGATTCAGCACCAAGACTTGCGGGATTATACCAATGAAGTATCTCCCACCAGCAGGGCACTCCCAAGCTGGAACAAACTCTAAACTCCGAACTGAGTGATAGTGTAGTGCGTGTAATTGTATGTAAGGGGGTAAGGATAGGACAAGAAAGAGGAAGGAAAGATCACGCATGATCCATCGCCTGCTCTAATGAGGGAACAATTTAAAACTACCCAACAGAGCAGCTAGACCTTACAATTTTCCTCCAGACAGTGGCTGAATTTGACTTAGCTATGAAGCTAGTGCCAAAAAAATCTTGTCATGATGGACTCAAACCCAATGACTTCCTGGTCAGAGGCATAGCTGTGGCATCAACTGATGTCCTAAGCAACTAAGCCAGTCTACATGCTTGACAAATGGGCCCTGGCAAAGGCAGCGTTGCCAAGCTTTATTGCCCTTGGCAAAATGCATGCTGCATGAGCCTTTCTAGGGATGCGAAGGAAACTCCTGCTTCAAGTTAAATTCTTTGGATATTTTACAGTACGATGCCTATACTATATGGTGAAATATATGAATAAAATCTAAATAAATTTATTACAAAATATCTAATGGGAATCAAATTAAATCTTGAATTGTTGCTCATACATGTACTATTAAAAATATTCTCATTTGAAATTTCTACGTCCTTCATAGGACACAAAATATTACAGAATAAAATAGTAAATCAACAATCAATAAAAAAAGGAACTTATTTCCTACACTACAAAATTAAAAATTACGTTTGCACTTTGTTGCAACTTAAATTTCATTACACTACTTTTCACTAAAGTTCCCAAAATGAACAGAATTATTCCCACGGAACACTCAAACCATTCATAATCATAAGCTTGTCTGGCAGAAACTAGTATGATGCTATCGTGTTTAATTGTTCATTCCGAGAAGTTGGCAACAAGAATTGATTGAAGATCTGCAATACATCAGACCTACATGCAAAATAAACGTGACCACTGTATTGATTAGAAATACTTCCTTCTCATCTAAGGTAGATGACTCAGGCAAAGTTGAACAATCATTGTTATAGCATGTTAGCATATATTCGAGACCGTTTCATTTTTCTACTATGCTTACATTAACCAAGTGAAACTACTGAATTATTGCACTCACTCGCGACAGTGAAGATTATAGGCTGAAAACTGGAAATATCAGTACTAATTGTTTGTTTAAGCAATAATATAGAACAAGCTTCACAATATCTATAAAGATAGAAATAATAATGATAGTATATAGAGCCTACACAACCATTTTCAATAAAATTTCCATTGTCGCTTAAACAGGAATAGAAATTCTTATAAAATGTTTGAATTTTATATTTACAGGCCACATATTTTGTTATTCATCATTCTATTTACACATATCCACTGATAATTTTTAATGATGGAAAGAACAAATGATAGTAAATTATATAGCCTACATAATCTTGTTCAATGAAATTTCACAATAGGACAAAAGAAATTCTTACAAATTTTCTGAATTTTATAATTAAACTGGTCTCTGCACTGCACTGCACGAGATGCATAGAATAATGTCACAGTAATTCCATTAAAAAAGCACAGAAGAGATTAATGTAAAACTTGTGCAGGAAAAAATTTATTTTGAAGACCATTTTGCATCAAACTTATTTGATTCTAATGTCTCTTTCAAGAAATTGATGAAACTTATTATCTCACCAAAAAACAATTTCTCATCATTATAACTCTGAATATGACATGCTAAGTTTTCAAATTACACCTGTTCCAGTTCAAAGATTCCCCCCCTTCTGATTGCAGAATCCAACAGAAATTAACTGTCCACAACTCCATGTTTTTGTAGGAAACCAACATCCGAACAACTCGTAACCTGAAAACTAATAGTAATTCATGGAATGTCTGTATTTGTCTCATCTCGCAATTTATAAAACAAAACAATCCTCCCTCACCATTAAAAGAAATGGTTGAATTTTTTCGACCACTTCAGTTAAAAAACTGTCAAACTTGAATTGGGAAGTTTTGCAATCCATTTCTGTAATTTTCTTCATCTCTTGCTAACATATTATAGACAGTACTTATCAGTCTAGTGCATTAACAGTGTGAGGAAAAAAGTCTGATTGGGAAATATGGTCAGAAAAGCATTCTTCAGTTTTGGTTTCATAAGGAAGAATAACTTTTTCTCCTCCAACCACATGCAACACACCGTATCTAATTACAAATTTGTATTCAAACTTTTACAATGACTAATGAGTTTTCTGTCTCTTGCAAATACTCTTCATGATTAACACACCTAACCCATTTGTCTTGCAACAACTTATCCTTCTGGAATTAAAATACTGAAACGACCATACGCATTGTAGTAAATTTACATCACGCTACACAAGTGACCCATACTTCACCATTACTATTCTGTTAAGTTAACTTTACAATAACAAAAAAATAATCTATTAAATCAGGGAATATATTTTTTCATGATAAATCACCTGGCCCATATGGATTGCACATAGAACAGACAGAAACACCCATCTGAACCAACACCCTACTGTCCAGAATCAATACTTGCATGAAGGTCTGAGAACTACACATGGCTTTGGTGGAATACGCCACTGGAAAAGCTGCATTTGCATGTGATTACAAATTAAAGTACTGGCAACGTATAAGCGACTGACAGTTTGATGCACTGTTGCCATACATTACTACACATATGGCACTACCTACATGATAAATACATGAAATCTCAAAACATTAACACCTAGTGACAGGTGATGACAAGTCTTGGCATTATGTTCATAACCTTCTCCATAGAGCCAAACCTTATTGCCTCCATGACTTCCTGCGATTCAGATGAGCGACACGACTGAACCCTGTCTGTGAGAAAGTAAACAAATCTTCCCCGATTGGTTGTTTCAGAGCAGGTCACATGATGTACCAAAACACGTGATGAGAGACTTGTCAGAGTCTCTTATATATTGCCGGTACTGTAGTGTCGGGATTATTTCATGCCTCTCCAAAGTCAAGTCCAAAGTAGTTTAGTACAACATTTAATAAATCTTTCACTCCTGATGAAAGTAAAATGAACTACCTAAAGTGAAAGTTTTATTTGACCTCTCATAATAATCCCGATTATAATCTAATCTAAGACAATAATCCCAATGATCCAGCTATTAAACACTCCAGGACTGCCACTAACTTAATGACCTCTGTCTGGAGAATAACTCACATTTTGCGGTACCTTTAACTTTGGCTCCAGCAGCATCTGAAGCTTTGACAAAAGTCCTCTGCAGTTTTGTTTTCTGTTTTTCACGGTACCCATCAGCAACACCCTGAGATAGCTGGCCAACGAGTTCCATGGTTTCTGCTGGGTAGCTGAAAACAATACCAATACCCACTGAAGATGAAAAACTATTATAAAACAAAACTATGAGCATAGAGGAAGAGAGAAAAGAAACAAGTTTTTTAAATAATATCACATAATTTGATTTTTAAAATAATATTTGTATTAGCAACCAATTCATTGATGAACATTTTATGAAATGTATTACATATTAAATTAACCAATAATCACTGATAAACCAATAATTTTTTAATATAGTGAAGTTTAATGTGAACCTATTCAGTGCTCCTGATCCTCATACACTAGAAACTAGCGCTAGAAGATTCTCAATATGGTTCCTTGTATACATTATGTGTAATTGAATTTTCAGTAAGAATAATTTTACCTCAATACAACAAAAGTGATTCAGTGCCAGAGTCTTCAAAAGGTGTCAAGACTGTAGTTTGTCAATAAAGACAAATTTGAAGAAAGGCAAGTTCTAAGAAGGATCTGGAGAAATTATCCATTTCTTTATTTTTTTATTAATGTGAAGTTTGTTTGGAATTATTTACTTTTTGGCAATCATTGATGCAGAATCTAATTGAGGAATGGTTAGTGAGTAATGCTTAGAAAGGATCTGTATTCATTTTTTAAATGTTGGCTGACTTGTGTTTGAGCTGTTTTATTTCCTTGCTTTGTCATCCCCCAACTGGAGAAGGTTTGCAAGATAATGTATTTATGTAGCTTGAATGCAAGAAAATAAATAATTTATTTGAAATGTGGCAATGGAATGAACTTAATCATTTTGGCATGATGATTAATAACGATTCTCAACAACTAGGCTTTATTAAATGAACATTGGAATTTAACTACCCGCAGTTACTAAAAAGTTTTTATCCAGATCTAGTTAGTTCCTTATAAGCATCGGAATATAATGTATTGTCTCCTTGTTTTAATGAGCAAATAAATCGCACAGAAACTGTTTCATACAACTTTTTTTATAATTGTTGCACAGCACATTAGTATACCTTTCATTAATCGCATATACCATGAGCTATCATTGTTGCCACAGCAATGTGAACTCTGCCATCCTATAACTAAAGAGTATGCAAGAACTACTTATATTTTCACAATCATTAATTTAAATATTTTGAAATAAGGAATACACTACATTAAACAAAGAAAAAGAAAAATTCTGGCTTCGATACTGAAGGCAAAGGATTGATTCAACAAAAATTGAATTTCACAATATTTGAAAGTCTAGAATTTTTTAATGAACATTGAACCTATGCCTCATTATTAACCCTTCAGTGTGGTATGCCATCAGTAGATGGCAATTCCTTTTCTCTTCTAAATGCGATATGCCATACCTGGATGGGTTGGATTTTCCTTCACATTTGCGGTAAGCCATCTCAGGACGGAATGGACCTTTACCCGTCTTTCCTCTCATTTGCAGTGTGTATCTTCAGATGCTTGTTGCATAGCGGTGCCATGCACTAACAAGTTGTGTGTTACGACAAGTTTTCAGTTTCTGTGAGTGTCATTGCTGTTACAAATATTTAAATATCGATTGAAGTGTTTCTATTTCTTTGTGAAAGTTTTTTAAAGAAACAATTAATTTACAAGATATTGCCTTCTATGTACTACATATCGTATGAAATTATTGCTACCTAATACTATAAATAGAACGGCAGAAATTATCTTAAATTAAATACAGTCATTGCTAATTATGGGACACACTTTATGGATGGGCAATTACTACAACTCCACATCATTAGCTGTGATGTTAAAAAACTGGGAACAGATTGTGTAGGAACATTACTGTTGAACAAAAAATAAAGTTCCTAATGTATTGCGGGAAAAGAAATTGAAGCGAGGTAAGTGCATCGCCCAACACTTGGACCCCTTTCAGTGTTGAAATGGATGGATAAAAAGGCTGTTTCCATGATAAGCACCTACCACAAGGAATTCAAAACAGCCTTTACAAAGACAAAAGAAGAAACTAAAAATCCCACATGCATTCTTGATTACAATAAATGTATGGGAGGGGTGGATCTGAAAGATCAGTACTTGTTATTGAAAGGATAATTTTTTTGATAAGGATATATCATTGAAAGAAAGAAATGGAATATGAAAATGTTTAAAAGATTATTAGGTGTCACTGTATTGAAAATATTTATTATTCAGAAAAAGAATCATGCTAGGACAATTCAGAAATTTCTTATTGATCTGGTCGAGCAATTGTTATCTGTTCATTCACACGACAAAAAGAGCAGTACGTGAACATCATTTGGTGAGCGATTTACATGGCTTCTCATAAAGACACTGTATTGAAAGAATTCCACCTCAAGGCGCTAAAATTAAACAACAGAAACAATGTATGGCATGTCACAAGAATGGGAGACGTCCAGAGACAACAATCCTGTGCCCAGACTGAAAGGTGCACTTTCCTTTACACTTGTTTTACAAGCTAACAAACTATAGAAAATTATTAGGAGTACCTTTATAATTAAAGTACCTTATTTTTGATTATGTTTTACTCTTAATAAACATTCATGTAAATGAATGAAAGTGTTGTAGAGTTGCTTTAATTTTCCATTTCCTCAAAGTCATTATTATTGAATTACAATTGTTTATGATATTACTGAAGATGAGAAGCAATGAATTCTCAGAAAAGAGCTCGTTTTCAGAGTTTAGGAGCGCAATGCCGCCTGAGTTGAGATGCTCCCGCAGCAGGCCTCGCCGGATGCATTCAGCTTGCTCCTGCAGGGCCGCTGACCGCATCTACCACTGAAAGCCATCTTCAAATGCTACCGCGCTCACACTCAGCACTGCATTGAAAGGTTAAGCAAACATGGCTCCATTTGAGTAAAAAATGGAAAGAAAATTTTGGGGTCCATTTTTCTGATACTTTGGTGAACATTTTTTAAATTGCAACTACTTCACTCAAAAATAGTTGTTCCAATATTGTCACTAAAAACAATATTTTAAGAAATTATTCAATTCATGTCAAAAAAAATAAATAAATAAAACAGATGCGAAAAAGTATGAATGAATTAAGTCATGAAATGGATGTAATGAGGCAGATCATACATGCCAAATTTCGAAGATCCCATGTGTTTCACTTTTATCACTCTTAAATCAATTTGCGATAGATTAAATTTTAATCATAAACTCAAGCAATTATTAAGTATGTTTAAATAATATTTCTGATAAAGTAAGGTTTGAAGAATCCTCATCTTGCATTCTAGCTACATAAATATATTGTTATCAAGCAAACACTCTCCTATTGGCGGAATGATATAGAGAGGACGTATAACTGCTCAAGTACAAGAAAGCCAACATTTGTGAAATGAAAGCAAATCTTTTCTGTGTTGCTCACTGATCATTCTCCCAATTTGGTTTGGCATCAATGAGAGTCCCTCAAGCAAACAACCACCCACCCACTCACCTGTTCAAACACACAATAATGACATTAAAGATCTAATTTTGAAGACCAGACTCCATCGACAAAAAAATTTAGTGATTTTGATGAAAAACCTGACACATTTTGGTAAGTATATATTTCTCTATTCCATTGTAAATTTAGAAACATTTTTGAAACAGTTTCAAAAAATGTTGGGGCTTCACGAAACGTACCTTCCAAAATTAAAACATCTGTTTCAAATTCAAAGGGTTCCCACATTAACTAGATTGATGAAAATCACATTAAATCTACACTACTACCTACTACACATATCACATTGAACTATATTATTTGAAATAATGAATATTTGTTTAATGTCTTTTGGAAAAGTTACTTTTAATGCCTTGCTTGAAAACAATTCTACGAAGCATAAGAACAGTTTCTTGACTATTAATTTGAACTCAATACGTGAGCAAGTTAATTGGGATGCAAATTTCATAAAAATGGTTTATTTTATTAAAAGTTTTGGAAACTATGAGAAAAGAAAAATTATCAAATGCTGCTACATTGACAACAAAAAGGAATTTCTACAATTATCTACTCTATACATCAATTTACTCACCGGCAGCCCATGAATTCAATATTGGTGAACACTTGAGCAAGACAAACTAAGCGTTCCTCTGGAAATTTATTTTTATGAGTCTCCATGAAGCAGCGTCGCAGTTGCCAGTGCTCTTCACTTTCATATTCAGTTTTATATTTATCGACGTCCCACTCAGTATTGAAAACCATAATTAATATTTATTATGACGGACAAATTCTATAAAGAGAAAACCAAATATTTTAGGTTATGAAGTAATGGCAGCTTAGAACGGTAAAAAAAAAAGAGTTAAATGTGAGCTACAGTACTACGTAAACTGATGTAAACGTTGCGAAATAGTTTCTACACAAAAACAGATACAATTGCGATAGTATAATCTTTCAAATCAACTAAAATTACAACGCAAACAAATAGCACTTGCATCAGTCCACGTTCACATACATTCGTGATAAGCCTCAATAAAGCAATAAAATTGAAAACATTGTAATTGGTACAAATAAATTCAATACCTTCCAAAAACTTCGTACAGATTTCGTGGAACGAAAACACAACACGATAAATTGATCTCACTCACAACTTATTAACATGCAGTAAATGAACGACCGGGCCCCGGGACCAGAAAGCATGCCTCGGGACGGAACACGACGAGGGCGAAATCTCGGGGCAAATCAGGCAAATAACTAACGAAATTGCCTCCTTCAAACGGATATCCCGAAAAGGAATCAACTGCACAACTGCTTTTAGATAACCAATTCATGACGTCCTTTTTGTTTGTCGCACAATTATTTTGTAATATTTTTATAACTTTAATTAATGAATATATATCTAACACCTTACAAGTCTTAGAATTGCAAGAAAAGTGTTGAGTGCAGTCGTTGCATAATAAGGTGGTAGTGATGGTGGTGGTGGCATAACACAGCATTGCATTGCAAAAAGAAGAAATGGCATGGTCACGAACACGAATCGGTTGCGAACGTAGCGTAGTGCAAGTCAAGTGAAAGTGAAAGGGCCTCGTTTCAGAAGCGTGGGTGTAAATGTCAATGAAGATGTTGAATACATATCTGCAGTCATACTGAGTTTGTCTCCTGTAAGAAGCCCCAATTGTTTTGACTGAGCTGCAATTGTGAAGAAAATCGTTTTTATATTGAACAAAATTATGCACTTCAATTATAATTGGGTTTGTTATAAATAAGCAATTTTTAAAGCTTTTGAAACGCAACCTTTTATATTCTTTGTTAAATGGGCGACTTCTTGTGCCGTGACACACGAAACTCCCGCGGTAAGATACCCGCGCGATACAAACATGAAGTGACTTTTTGAATGCTAGCAGTGAAAGTTCAGCCGCATTAAAATGGGTCACCTTGAAACGCAGCCAGTAATCTTCATTTTCTCTTGGTCATTGTTTAATTGCCTCTAAAATGCTATCATATCTTTTCATTGTGAGTTTCAGTCCCAATATTAGCACCCTTCTGAAATGAACAATTTAACTTTGAATTGCATAATCAAATTTTGAAAGCTGGCACATTAAAGAACCCACACATTTCCTTTCATAAGGCTTGGATAATTCAAAATAACACTAACAACATATGGAAATGATTGATTTAATTTCCAAATACCAATTACATTCACTTTACAATTGTTTATATCTGTGCTTTTTATAAAAATACCTAGTTATGTCCATAGCCCCTAAAAAGGAAATCTTTTAATCATGTAAAATAAATTAAAATAATGATACTAACACCAACACAATACTGCCAGAATCACAAAGTAAGTACACAAAAAACAAAAATTTACAAGACTGTACAATTACAAATACATTAAAAATATGTATTTAATAAACAATTTTATAATTACATTCACATGGAAACAAATCTGTGTTTAATAAAATGTAATCACAATCATCATTGTGAGAAAATATTTCCTTTTATCAGCATAAAAACAAGCACCAGAAGCAACAAAGCTAACAAATACCACAATTAATTGATCTGAAATGCTCATGGTAACTTTTCTGTATGATACACAATGAATTTGTCATGTGTTTAGTAAATAAATTATTGAAATGTTTAATGCCTTTACAATAGATTTTCTTTAAAAATGTGTTCATGGAACACTTAACATAGCTGTAAATAAATCTGTATAACACTCCAACACCAATATACATATAAATATCTATACAAATATATTGTGAAAACAATGTGGTCATTGCAGTCTCTTAAAAAATTTAAAAATCTGTCTTTTTTTGGAAATAACTCGCTCAACTGGAAATGTACTTCCTTGTTTAGTAAGCAACTCAAGATTACGAAACATTATACTCCACATAGCTGCAACCTGACTTGTAACGGTACAGCCACTTTCACTTCTCTCTATTACCAATCATGACACTATGGTAGCCTTGAGAGTTAAAATAAGAATGTAAAGGTCAGAAAAAACACTTCCTGATGTCTAATTTTTTTGTAAACTATGTAGAAGAATAACAAATTTATAAATTAAATTAAAACAATTCTTCACACTAAATTTTATTGTTTTTAAAATAATAAAACTTTGTTTGCCAAGATTTAATTAATTAGGAACTAGGCACCAGTTGAATTAGTCAAATCTCAGTGTTAGTGAACCTCTTTAATAATGGCATTTGTACCATTAGTGCCATTTGTATTTGTACCATTGGTTCCATTACTACCATTAGTAAAAGCATGTTCTTCACAACTGTGTTTAAGCTGGAACGGAATGGTAAGGGTTTTATTAGCTACATATTCTTTCAGTCCTTCGCCAGCAAATGAGATTAATGGTGAAATTTCACAGATAAGTGGAGCACCTTTGCAGCACAAGAATTTACCCCCTGCATCCATGATGTAACGGTAATGTAAACGATATATGTCTTCTCTGGCTGTAGTAGGAGTGTCCTTGTTAGCGGCACCATCTGCATTCTTCAACGCACTAAATTCTTCTTCTCGTCTTACCTCCCATGTGACAAAATTTTCAGCAAATGAAAAAACATCAAACACAAATTTTTCCATCTTGATCCCATTAGGCTTTTCTGGTTTGTATCGCTGTCCATCTGTATCAATATAAGGAATTTTTTTCTTTGCAACATGAAGTGTCAAAGATGCTTCATGAGTCTCAGCTATTTTGTGAAGGAATTCTGTTGTAAAAAAGTGATTACATATGTTTCCAGCTCTGAAAGTTAGTCTTCCATCATTATCGACTCTTTCAGCAGTTTTCTGAGTAATTTCACTGTACTCAACCACCTGAAATCGTCCATCTACTTTGCAGACGACACCAACAGCTTCTGTAGGATTAGCCTTCTCCACCACTTTGGCACCACACTCTGCTCCTCGACAGACACAATAACCAATAAACACAGGGTCAGCCACCTTCACTAGTATATTGTCCACACTATGTGCATGCAGATATTTAATTCCACGTTTGTCCATGTCATCTAAAATATGTTTGTCTCTGAGAGCACGATAAATTCCACCATTTCCATCTGGAGCTCTTGAAATTTTGTATTTTTCATCCATTATAATTTTCCCGTCAAAGGTAAAGCAGGGCAAAAGACCTTGTTCAAACATCACAATATTTTCTTCTTTTAAACCAAAATAATCATATGATTCAAAATATTTTCTTGTTGGTTCCATTGTTGCTTCACTTGTCATGATGTACCATGTAATGTTACTTCTTTTACCAGTGAACTGGTATGAAAGTTCTTCAAGCCGACGAATCCTTTCAGCTTGAATTCTATAAAGAGACTTATGGGATGGCAATCCCACATCATACATGCCTTTTGGATAGGTGACACCCAGTCTGGTACCTTGCCCTCCTGCCATCAGCAGGACACCAACCCTACCTTCCGATATTTGCCGAAGTCCTTCTTCATTGTAGTTCCTAAGATCTTCCGCTTTGGCCCGTATCACTGCACCATATGATTCGGAGGGGATCGGCTGCATACGATCATCCAGTTTCGCCTGATCTTCGGTAAGAGTTGCCACTGCCCTCTTAAAGAAAGCTGTAACCTCTGCCACGTTGATATCTTGCAAATCTAAAAGCAATTCTTCACGTTCTATATCGGATAATTCATCCCAAAACTGCAACACATGTTCTTGGCCATATTTCTTCAGTTCGTTCCTTATGACTTCTAGAGATGACATGATCCCACACTGTCTTAAGTTACTGGTAAACTAAACACAAGTGCTCACACCGGACCAACCGGCCGCTACGAAGCCAGCGCGGTATCTGTTGACATTTCTCGTTTGACAGCCGAAGTCTTATGTAGCTAAGGGAGGAACTCGTTCCATACGCCACTTGGATAGTTGCCTGTAATAACGTTCCACGTTTTCTCCACTTACAAGGTCACAGCTTCCTTGATTCTTAACTGCGTCTGTATAGCATTGATTCTGAGAGCCGGCACCGGCGTAAAGGTAGCGTGGCCGAGCGGTCTAAGGCGCTGGTTTTAGGCACCAGTCCGAAAGGGCGTGGGTTCGAATCCCACCGCTGCCAAAGTTTTTTTGCTGAAATTGTTTGAATTCATTCGACAAATTTGAATTTTAAAGTTAATAATAAAGTTTTGTTTTGCATGTTTTAATCGATTCTTTTTAAACAAACGTTTATGTATGTATTAATCGGCCGAATGTATTTATTGGTTTCATAGCAAGTTACGAGACGAATATAAATGTGTGGAAAAGAAAATGAAATAGAGGTGGCGGGTGTGCCGGAAATAAGTTGTTTAACTTGTAATGCGGTAAAACAATCTGAATGTCAAGAGCACGCGGAGGCCGTTTGGGTGCTGTTCTAGTGAACGGGATCTGGGTTTGCGCATGCGACAGTGCTGACTCAACGCACTTTGCTGTGTAGTAAGCCATTGCAGAGGGGAGAATAAAAAGTAAAAATTTATCGTGCTCAAGTGATCCCACGTCAAATCGTGTCCTTGAGAGGCATTGAAATATTAGATAAATGTGTGAAATGAAGCAATGATCTTCTTCGGAGTATCTTCTTGTAGAACGAATTATTAATAAATTACTATTACAAAATTTACTATTAATAGAATTAAAAAATATTTAAATTTAGAAATAAAATTTAAACAACTGATTAAGTATTTTTTTGTTTAACGTACTATTACGAAAAATAATCACGGTTGTTCCTCAATTTGTGTTACGTATTTGTATAATTTATACTTAGGTGTTACAAGAGTTTCGATTTTAAACTCCGTTAATTTACCTAATTTTGTCAAAATCTTATGATTCTAGCCATTAACTAAACACCTCAATGTAACATGAAAATTTATTATTCTTTCATGTTACATTATGTAAATTGGCCATATCGTCCGTGAAGTAAAGTTTATTTAAATCTCGTAATTCTAATTTTTTACTCAAGACATTGCTCTCTTCGCGTTTTGATTCTGAGTGTACAATAGGCAGACCAACTGATATATACTTGCCAATTTTAAAGGCCATTAAATTTTCTGCAAGTTTTATGCTAACATTTTGGGAAATACAGAATAGATACTGACAATAAGAAAAAGAACGGAAAAATTGCAAACATTTCAGTTAAATAAAGTAAGACAAAGTTTGACCCAAATATTTTTTCTGTGACGTTGAGCGCAAAATGTATTACCAGTCGTGTGGCTTATCAAATTTCCTACCAGATGTAACTTATATAAAATATTTGTCATTACTGCAAATAAGATTAGGTATCCAGAAATGTTCAAATAATTTGGTGAAATTGGGGTGTAAACTGCAAAAATCACACTGTGCTAAAATTAGTATTTCTGAGTGTAATACAATTTTTAATTCATTGTATATATAATACTAATAGACGCATAAAGTTATCGTGTATTGTACATGAATGTGCATGTAATGCATGAGATTCATTAATAATTTAGGGGAATAAATTGTTTTTATGACGAGATACATGCATTTTTAAAACATTCAGAAATATATATTTTTCGAATTACTTTACGGACCTTACGAATGTACGAAGAGAAAGTTTTGTAAAAGTGCACAGTGCACCAGACAATGGCAAATTTTCGACAGAAAAACGCTTATTTTTTTCTGTAAGCAAGCATATCCAACCTTTGTATATATTTGTATTATTTGCATTTTGCCTTTATATGTTCCGTTAAGAGCAAATGACGCGTTATATTCCAGAGTTCCTAGTATCCCGGGATCCATGCATGACACCGACTGATTTGAGCATCTGCCACTACAACAGTTTGATACTTGTAAACTTGCGATAAGGTAAAGGGCTAAAATAATTCCTTTCAGTTACTGATGCGCAGTAGAAAATATAAGGATGCACGTGACATGTTTTCAAAACATCTACTAATATCTACTAAGACCGACTCGTAATTGAGCGCGAGTACCAGACGCGAGTATAAAGACGGCAATATTCAAATACAGAAGGTAAAAAAAACAACACGAAAGCTTAATTTTGTTGATATTTCGTGAAAATGGCATAGATGAACAGAAAAAAATATTTTATTTTTAAACAGATTTTATGCATATTGATTTTACATATCTTACAGGTGCAATTTACATATATTTGCATTAATAGCAAAATATGGTATGATACGCTATAAAGATACGGTATATTTAGGAACTGTGACGTGATATGACGATTTTGTTGTGATCTACGTATAAAATTAAGTATGTTGCGCACTCTACCTTCTTGGAGGCAAAAATCTTGTTCTCTAGTGTAATCTTTGATAATAAAAAATTAGTTCATATAAATAACTCGGTACTAATGTTGATAATCAAAACCATATAGAAGAAGAAATTAAAGAAAGAATAGTAGCTGGTAATGAAGCTTACTTCGCTAACCAAGAATTCTTTAAATGTAAATTAATATCTAAAAGTTGCCAATTTTCCCGCAGCAGCATTACAACACTTTCTCTTTACTTGGTAAATAGTATACGAAAAAGTAAAATGCAAAGCAAATATATTTAGATCAGAAACGTGAAAACAGTTTCAAAGCACAAGACACGCGAGAATTAAACTGGATGTCACAATTGTCATTATGTGGTAACAGACAATAATAAATGTTTTGACTGAATACAACGAACTTTCAAATCAAAATACTACACATTCTGCCAAAGCTCAACAAGAACGAAATTCCCTCCATATAACGCATGTGCAGCGTCTCCCTAGTCTCAGAGAAAAAACTCGAGTCTGGAGTGAATCTTCTCCCTTCTTGCTATCCATGCTCAAGTCTTGACGATTCGCTACAAAAATGGAAGTTTCTAACGTGTTATCTAAATAGGGAATTATTTAATAAGCTGATACGAATCACAAATAAGCTTTTTATACAAATTTGATGATGAGTTTTATCAATTAACCGTTGAAACATTTTATCAGTTTTTAACCCGATGATGAGAATAGATCAGTTCACGAAACGTTATTGTAACATATTATATTAATCATCAACTAACTCAATGAATAGAGACTGATTTTTCCATCAAGTTTTCATTGTTTTTAATTTGATTGTCTAAAATATGAAGGGATGCATTAACAATAGACCATTCCCCCTAGATTCTAAAAGTAACGATTAATTTTGGATGCATTTCCGTTGTTTTGCAATGATGAGAAGTATTTTGGAGGTAGGCGCTTCTAGCTTTAGACTAAAACTAGCGGCTCCTACGATTTTGGTCAACTCCCAAGAGACTAAAATTTGCGAACAGACCATTTAATTAGCCTAAAATTATAATTTAATTTCGTGTATGGTTTAGCTGAGTTCTGTTCTTGGGCGCTGCTAGCTTCAAATGCCTTCCTTAAGCTCAGCGTGCAGTGTGTCGGTATTGCACGGAGGGGACGGGACTGGATGGACGGCAGCTTCTGTGTGGGTCGCGCTCGCCAAAACGAGACAGAACCAACTAAATTACACTTCCGAGTGTTGGATAATACACTAAATTAAATTTAATACCATGTAAAACGCAGTATACTTCAGGATCAACACGATCCGTGTTTGCTCCACATGCATCACATAACCTCACAATTGAAACGGCGAAAAGGTCCTGATCAGACGCATGTGACTACGACGTCATCGATGTGGACGAAATGGCACGTCGGGATGTTCCGAAGATCTTTCTTTCGAATTTTGTGCACACAGCGGAAGGGGCGGATCGTTCCGTCCCGACTGCATGGCCTAGTACTCGCACCCTTACGGGAAACTATGTAATCAACGTTTAAAAAATTGAGTCTGCTCCGTTCGGCCGTGCCAGTCCGGGCTAGTATGTAGTCGTCGATAAATGGTAGCCGGGAAGGAGTGGGGCAAATCTGAAATGAGAGCACCTACTTAAAAAACAAAAAACACTGCTGTGTATGAGACTGGAAAATGACTGGCGGTAGTGTTTCTAGTAAGTACTCGTACTTTAAGATAGTCAGAATGACCCCTTGTGCTGAAAGAAGAACAGGGACTGTCTTTGAGCCCCTTTCTACTGATCCTTCATGATATTCTTTGTACTTCTGCATCTTCGTCTGTCATACTTAATGATGAAGTATGAAGTACTTAATAAACTGTACTTATGTCTGATAGATGTATGATGATATACTGTACTTCGGTCTGATATACGTATGATTAAGAGTGTTGGTATTAGCGACTGTCATTTCCACAAACCATTCTTAAACCATTATTATCATGTTATTGATATTTTTATCTATTTAGTTACTATAAAAATGTTGGAGTTACTTTTGAATAATGTAAGAGCTCGTAAATATCAATTTCGAATTCGCAGGGCCTTGAGTTCGGCCATATTGATCGGGTCATTTGTTTTGGAGAACATCGTCAGAAATGTTTATGTGCTAGCGTTAACGCACTGTACTGACGTTTTGCCGGCAACAAATATTTCATTATTAAGGACCCACAAAAAGTGAATTCTAATTACATTACGTGTTAGAGGAAGTAGTGTTCTACATGTACGAACAGGGTTTACCCACAACGTATTTCGATATAAGGGCTCCACAATATGAGTTTTTTGACCAAAAATTGCCATTTTTCGCTGCAACATTACAATACTTCCTCTTTACTACGGGTCTACGTATATCGAGAAAGAAAAAAAGTGTTATATATCCTTAGCATATTAAATAGAGAGATTATTTGATACAATCAGCGCCCTTTTTACTCTAAGATTGCCCTCATTGCACTATCATTTGACGCT